GAAGAGTGTCTTGACCTGCAGTGATAGTAACATTACAAACTCTCTAGGAACATTTTGACCTGCAGTAATGGTAACATTACAAACTCTCTAGAAGTGTCTTGACCTGCAGCAATTGTAACATTACAAACTCTAGAAGTGTCTTGACCTGCAGTAATGGTAACATTACAAACTCTCTAGGAACATTTTGACCTGCAGTAATGGTAATATTACAAACTCTCTAGAAGTGTCTTGACCTGCAGTAATTGTAATATTACAAACTCTTTAGAAGTGTCTTGACCTGCAGTAATGGTAGCATTCCAAACTCTAGAAGTGTCTCGTCCTGCAGCATTCATAACAGGATCGAGTGTCTGTCATCTTAGTATCCTTTTCTATATAATACATGCATATCACAATTAAATTAAAGACTACCCCTAGCATTTTTGCCAACAACAAAGCCAGTCAATCAACTTTTAAACAGTTAATTTCAACTAACGGACATGATAATTAGCGTAAAAGTTTTTTCTGCGTATGTTTTTTGCTAACTTCATTCATTCCATTGTCTGAAGGTTCATTTAATTCTTTATATATAAAGTGCATGTTCCTTTTAGTACTCTTATTCAGTACAGACTGACTCTATAGTCGTTCTTGTTATCTAAACTATGACTGAATTTTCTTGTACATGTATTTATTCAATTTGCAGCTTCGTGTTTTTATTTCGCAAATTATTTCCGGTTGTGAGGACTTTGGAAGATTGCAATAAATCTTTTCTGCTAGTGATTCCTAGGGACAAAGTACTGAGAAAGTAAATACTTGGGCTGTGTCTCTTTCTTTTTTTAAACGTCACTGTCTCTCCTGTCTGTTTTTTGGGATGTGCAAGTTGCAAGTGCTGACATATAGTGCATTTTTGCCCCAGAAGCCATATTCATGTTTTGGGATTACACACATGACAGGGCTGTGCTACCATCTCTCTAAATGGTAATTTAATGCACTATCCTGGCATCAACCAGGCTCGGCCAAACACAAGCACCTGCAAATCAAGGTTCCCGCAAAGTCACATTCAGTGGAATTGGCCTTCCCATTGTGTCTGTGGCACACTCACCCAGGGTAGAGGTTGACCCTTTGATGTTCAACCTAAGGTAGGATTTGAACTTGGATCTACCGATCATGAATCAGATGCAACAACCACTATGCTACCAGTGATCGGTCCAATTTCCAATTGTCCAATTTCTTTGGTCTCCCTGATATGTTGTAGCTTGAGAATCAGAATTTTGTGTTGACACAGCCCCTTGCAAGACAATTCATGCTTTGATCCATGTGTATCATTAAAAATGCTTTCTAATATTACATGACTGCAAAAACAAGCAATATTTTGTTCTTGCCAACAGTACAACAGTGCATGTATGTAAATGTGTCAAAATGGGCGTAGTGCAAGTGGTTAGTGCTAGTAGCACTAATCCGAAAAGGTGCTAGATCTAGTGCTATAATGGCACTAGATCTAGTGCTAAAATGTACATAGTGCGAGTGGCATTGATATTGCATTGTCAAATACGTCGAGACATCCCGTAATTGTGCGAAAATAAATTAATATTTACGTGAGTTTGTTGTATCTTTCATTCAATGGAAATGTGCTACAGTGGGCAAACTGAGAATGTACATGAATGTCATTGTCCACGTTTGTCGTAATAGACCTTTGAAACAACGCGATCAGCCGGGAAACTGGCTCCATGGACAGTGAAATTACATACCTAAACAGTGCAGGCAATGGTACAATGTATTCTAAATGAGAAATCATCTGATTGGGGAAAAGTGCATTATTCCATAAACATTTCATTTAACAATCTGAAAACTGAATACATATTGTTATAACAATATTTTTTTAATAAAATGAATCGCTGCAGTTTCAGACTGAAAAGACGTGAACAATAAATTAAATTCATCAAGTCCAATGAACTCCATGAGGATAATTCCCATATGCAAAATTATTGTGAAATCTCAAATGGATTAATATTTTTTTCTTACAGATCGACCTTTGTATAAACTGATAAATCATTGCCAAGAAGTGCACTTGCCGCCACAGCCACAACCAATTTACATTTATCTGTGTTGCATCATGGGTAAGCAGAACAGTAAGTTGAGACCTGAACAGCTGGATGATCTTAGAAAACATACAGAGTTCAACGAACATGAACTACAAGAATGGTATAAAGGATTTCTCAAAGGTGTGTCACACATACCATGTTTGTTCTATTAGAAGCACATTTATAAAATACTGTTAAAATGTCGGCGTTAACACATCACACAAAGTTTCATGTACATGTATTGGAAACTTGCTTCTAATAGATCAAATATAATATTACATTATTGCAATATTGTCAAAATGATATATTTATTACAGTGAAACCTATGTTAGTGACCACTTTTATATAAATACCACCTGCCTATATTAATCACTTCTAGGCAGTCTCGTGGCATAACGTATGAGCCACCTGTGTATAAGGACAACCTGCCTATAGTGACCACTTCTAGGCAGTCCTGTAGCATAATGTATGAGCCACCCGTGTATAAAGGCAACCTGCCTATAGTGACCACTTCTAGGCAGTCCCGTGGCATAATGTATGAGCCACCCGTGTATAAAGACAACCTGCCTGTAATGTTCACTTCTAGGCAGTCCCGTGGCATAATGTATGAGCCACCCATGTATAAAGACAACCTGCCTATAATGATCACTTCTAGGCAGTCCCGTGGCTTAATATGAGCCACCCGTGTATAAAGACAACCTGCCTATAATGATCACTTCTAGGCAGTCCCGTGGCATAATGTATGAGCCACCCGTGTATAAAGACAACCTGCCTATAGAGATCACTTCTAGGCAGTCCCGTGGCATAATGTATGAGCCACCCGTGTATAAAGACAACCTGCCTATAGTGACCACTTCTAGGCAGTCCCGTGGCATGATGTATGAGCCACCTGTGTATAAAGACCACCTCTCTTATGTAACCATCCTTCTCGCAATATTTTTGCTTATTTGAGTAGAATCTATAAAGACCATTTTAAAAAAAGTTTCTTTGTGGTTGTTATACACAGGTTTGACTGTCACTTGTCACCATGCTTCCGTGTGCCTAGTACTTTATGTGGAACATATGCACATGCAGTGGTTTAGGGATTTGATTCAAAATGGCCTGCTGGCAGCCATCTTGTTTTTTTAAAATGATGTATTTTGGACATGCTTTGTCAATTTTCATTCAAACTTGGTACATAGATTTTACATGTTAGGATACATGTCCATTACAATTTGTTTCACAATCGACTCAAGGATGGCTGATTGACAGCCATCTGACCCTTTGGCCTTACTACCATGTTTCCAAGATTTATGTACCATTTTCATTCGTATTTGGCACATACATCATACATGTCACTTTGTTTCATAATTCGATCAAAGATGGCCGAATAACGGCTGTATTTATTTTTGGCCATATTGCTATATCTCTGTCACCCATGTATCATTTTCATTTATATTTAGCATGTCATAAATGGGTACATGTCAATTCAATTTGCAATTTGATGATGTACAAGTTGTTATAGTAGTAACTTTTAGATAATGTTTACCTACTTGCAATACCCTGCTTCTTACCTTAATGGGCGGTGGTCGTTGTGCCGCGTTCTGTTCAACATCGGACTCATAGCGACGAGTACAACATGTGTAAAATACATTGTTTGTTTACATGTTACATGCTGTGCGACGACTACCACCCTTTAAGGTCAGTTGGTGAATAGTATTTATTTTAGGATGTTCATTTTCTTGTCTTTGATTTCAGATTGCCCTACTGGACACCTAACTGTGGAAGAATTCAAGAAAATCTACGGCAATTTCTTTCCATATGGAGATGCATCTAAATTTGCAGAACACGTTTTTCGTACGTTTGATACAAACAGTGATGGGACAATTGACTTCCGGGAGTTCATCTGTGCGCTGAGTGTAACATCGCGTGGCAAACTGGAAGACAAACTAAAATGGGCATTCAGTATGTATGATTTAGACGGCAATGGATACATCTCCCGACAGGAAATGCTAGAAATTGTCACAGTAAGTTTTCTTTCATGTGTTCTGGCTTCATATGCATAGACTGCTTCTAACAGTCCTCGTTTAAAAAACAAAATATCATAAACATTTTGTGATCTGATCCAATACAAGACTTATTGGTTGTTATTTTGGTCATGCTAAAAAATCATAGATAATGTGCCTACATCTGTTTCTAGTGTAACCACTGAATCAGTTTGTTCCTTATGGCTACAATAAATGTCAGGTTGTAGATGTTTTTTTACTTTGTTGGTCTCTGTTCAGACACAGTGCAAAATTGAGGACTTACAGATTGACCAGCATGTATGCGTATGTTCATATCAAGCTGTATCTCACATATGCTTGGGCTAATTAAGTTCAAATTTCACACATGTATCAAGAAATATGCACATGCATTTGTTTCATTATTCGATTCAAGATGGCCGAATTGCAGTCATTTTCAGGAG